CACTCCATAGTCCACGGGGGATGGGCACCTGAGCCGAAGCGAGACTGTCGATGAAGATGTGATCACGATGCCCCAGATATCGAGCATGGAGAGACATCATTCAAGGCCAAATAGCCCGTAGATGTGACTTTAGGGAATAGCGTCAACTACACGCAGGCTGGTACGTCGCCAGCCATGAGCGAGAAAAGGCGCATATTAGGACATCGAGGCACACGGAGCTGAGGGGAGAGCATACCGCGTAAAGGGGCGATGTAGTTGAGTGAGACATCAAGTGGCAAAAGAGGATAGAACAGAGACATTCATACATGGCAGAATGAGGCCTGGGTCTCTCATCTCTGCGGGCAGAGTGAAGGAGGAAAGGAAGGGAGTCAGTTTTGCTTCTGTCCGCCCGCCCCAATGTCACAGGCGGCTTGCTGGCACGGACATGACAACTGGACGATCGAGATGTAATGTAGACATCAGGATGAATGGATGCAATGTAATGTGAGTTGTTTGAAAAAAAAAAAAAAGCCTCGAGTGCATGCAGCGGACTGCCGTAAAGTGCCGCGCGTGCAGGACATCAATCACGGTGGAGAATGAAACCGGCATTGGGATGACTGAAGTCCCCGTTGGGAGAAGGTCTGGCCCCAAGACACGTTATGCCGGGGCTTTGCAGCACTTGCTTCAAAGGCATTCCTCATCAAGGCGTGTACTGGAATGATGGCGGTAGTGAAATGTCAAGGGAAGGCAGGGCATCGTGATGAGGTGGGTTACACGTGGCTAGCACAACTGCCGCATGACTGAATGAATTGGTATCATGATTGACAGCTCAGAAGTCAGGGAAGAAGACGACAGGCGACGAAACAGGAGGTGGTCGGTCCGTGGGTGGTGACCCTATTCACGACCTACATGAATGTTTTCATGGTTGAGGGGGCGATGAGAGGAAGGGTTGCACAACAAGGCTTTGGGCTGCAGGAGAAAAGAGACTAATGACGGTGCTAATAAACCGTTATGCAGGAGAAGTGAGCACGAAATGAGCCCCAGATGCGCGCATGTACATGTATTATCCATGCATTTGACCGGGATAGGGCCCCCTGCAGCCAAACGGGATAGGATGGATATCCCGGATGACTTCATCTGATCTCTTGAATCTGTCCCTAACGGATGCTCCGTATTTTACTCCCTAGTAGCTGGGCTTTTGTTTACCACAGGTGGGAAGCGGACAACCAGAGATAATACGTAGTCAACTATAGCCCTGTTCTTACAGGCCTGACCTGACCACGGTTTCTTTTTCCTGGACCCGCGGATCTGGATTACGACTCTTTTGCTTTTGGCCAGGACCACTCTACGGCACTGCCACAGCGAGGAACCCCTGCCCCTAGTTGCTGATGCTGATGCTGATAAACACGGGATATTTTGAGATGAGATCCGCTTCTTTGATAATTAAGTCGACGCGTGGTTCAATTTCAAGAACCCGAGATTTCCAATGTACGCGTGTTATTATTTTTTTTTGGTGGTTTAATGTCTTGGCATACATACACAGGGCGGTACAACCCGACGAAACAAGACATGGAACCGCCCCCCCCTTTGGAATGAGAGCGGAATGGGCTTCTGTCAGCAGGTAGAATACCATTCAAGGGGCAATTGAGACGGTGCCGTTCACGTTTGAGGCGAGGGATGGTGCATATGCAGCAAATAGCCTCCCCTCCAGCTCCTACATGTTGCATGCAGCAAAATACCATCTTGACTTTTGACAGACAGACAGCCACGAGTTGACACGAGTGACATTCTCAGCGACTGTTACTATGCATCTTGTTAGTTAACTTAGTTACTTGCTGACCCGCTTTTGCCATGCGTCAACCGGACGAGGCGCCAACCTTGACTCGACTCGACTCGAGCATCTGTCATGAAACTAAACTAGACACACACACACTTCAACGGGGAAGAGAAGCTTCCAGCCGTCTTCCTTTTATTGCCCTCTCTTGGCTTGTACTGTACATCCATACCGGCTGTGCTAAGAGATCCCGTCTGCATGGTTTGAGTTTGGTCCGTCAACGTAGACGCTGCTTATTAGTCGAAGAGACTGTTAAGAATCCAACGACTGCATTCCTCGAGTCAGGCATAGGCATAGAAGGATCAACGTGGCGCGGGAACACCCACGGCAAAGAGTCTCTCCCCTTCATCTACTTCACTTTCTCTCGTCGAGATTCCGTCCACATCGGAGAAATGTTGTCCACCGCACGCGGTTCCTTTGGATATGTGACTTGACTGGGTTGCATACACGAGCAGGGTCTCAGACGGGGAGACGGCCAATCTACTACGTAGTTCCACGCAACAGAATGCAATGCCAGACACTGCTGGAATGCAGTTGCAGGACCACATGGACCAGTTAATAGGTCCCTTCTCATCTATTAGTATCAGTCTCGTCGACCTAATATCGCAGCATTGGTCGCGCCGTGGGGCAGGGGTCGCTGTGGCTGGCTGCAAGAGACAAGACGAGGCAAGCAAAGGTTGGGGGAGGCGACAAAGGCAGAGAAGTCATGGCATTTTGCATATTCCAGTGTTCCAAGTTGCATCCTGTCGACTGGGAAGCTATTTCGAGAGTGAGCAATAGTAAAAAAAAAGGGGGGCGTGTTGAGAAGACGGAATGTGAACCAGACCCTTCGTCCTTCTTTTTTGTTCACTCTCTCCCTTCTCTTCAATGGCTGGTCCTTCGTCGTCCTTCTTCACACGTTGTCTTTTTTTCGATTCTGCTGCTTCGCCTTTGCGATCTTGATCGTTTCCACTCTACACGGCTGATCCTTTCTTTGTTGCTTGTCTCGTCGGAGAATCAATCGCGATCGGGCCTATCTCGACCATAGGTAGGTTGTCCAAAGGGAATGACGAGGGCACACGGCGGGCAATGGTATTAGCCGTTGGGAGCACAGCCGACGTTGCTCAAACCAGGTATGTATGCACGGGAGCCGTTTGCGTTCTTCTTCTTCGTTCCTCTTCCCCGTCGTCGCTTCTCTTCCCATTGCCCATATTCCCCATCCTGTTACATCCTCCAGCCTCCAGATGTAATGCCCATCCCGTCTCGCCTCGCGGCCAAACAAAGATCTACCACTTGGAGACGGGCTCGTCGAGGGCCCGGCGTTGGCTCGGCACGCATCGTCACACACACGGACGCACACCTTGCACGCATGGCGCAGGGCCACCCGCACCACCTCGACCGAGCCCGCCCATCACGACTGGTCAAAGGCCATGTGCTTTCCCTAGCTAGCGGGACCCGGGCTAACCAAACCGCAGTGGGAACGCCCGGCTTGGTCATCCTTGCCCTTGCCCGGGAGCGCATCAGCTCGAGCTCGCGCTAACTAACGCGGCCGGGGGGGAGGAATCTCGAATCGAAGCGGGCAAGCCGCGAGCAGGCTGGGGGACCATGACGGCCGCGACGACAACTAGGAGAAAGAAGTTGAGTATTAGTAGTGTTGGAGGGAGAGGCAGCGCTGCTGCCAGTGGAAGCGGGAGCAACATCAGCATCATCAGCAGCAACAAGAACGGAGACAAGGACACCATGAAGAGTGGAAAAGGCAGTGGAGGAGGTTGGAGTTTTGGGCGCTGGGGGGCGTCAGCGAAGAATACAAGCAGCAACAGCAGCAGCAGCAGCAGCAACAACACGGTAAGAGGATCTCTTGTCTCTATCTCCCTCTCAATCCCTCCTCCTATGGACCAATCATTACAAACATCATGACTTGAAGCTTAAGCGAGTTTGATAAACATTCTCCCTCCCCATCTCCTTGACCAGCTGAGCTTCATCTCTTGTCAAGGTACAGATACTATCCCTTCAGCCCACTCTGCTGCATCTCGCCCACTTTTCACTCACTCCTCCCATTTTACCTTTGCAAAACCCACACGCACCACGCCCCGAAAAAGCTGAAGGGCCCCGTCAAAGCGGTATCCTTCAACGCCCTGGCTGAGCGTCGCTTTGCTTTGTACTGTACCTGGACGATCCCCGACTTTCCCAAGGTTGGACTCAAGTGCGTGCGTGCGTGCGTACATGCGCGCGGTGCCGTCATCAGACCAGACCAGACCAGACTGGGCAAAGCAGACGCAGCAACAGCACCCCCAGAGGATGACGAGAGCTCTGGAGGAAAGAAAAGGGCAGAGAAGGGAAAAGACAGAAAAAAAAAAAAGTCAATTTCACCTCCTGCCTCTTTTTCTCTCGCCCACTATTCCCGTCATAACCCACCTCTTCACGCCTGTCTTTATTCAACTCAACTCAGTTCAACAACCTCCAGATTTTTCATCATTCTAGCTTTTGATCAAGTCTCATCTTGATCTGGGGGAGGCTTGTCCACAGCGGATCATCCAGTCTCACATTCCCCTCCTCTTCCCCTTCTAATCCATTTCTTCCTCCAACTACCTACGGATCACTTGCCCCTGCTCGCTCTCATCCTTGCTCTTTTCCCAGGGCCGCCCCAATGGCTCAACGGCCCACGTCACCCACCCGCGCTGACAGGTTATACTACGACTAGCATCATCTCCTCCCGTCCCAGTCCCAGGCCTCGGCGTCGACCCAAGGGCCCTCCTCGACCCAAGGGCCCTCCTCGACCCAGACCCAGTCTGTGTCCGTGTCTGTCCAGGTCGGTTCAGTAGCCCATGCCCACTACCACCCTCACGCATTTCGCTCCCACCCTCACCAACACCACCAACAACACGCCAGCAGCCAGGCGCCGCCGCACCCTTCAGCTTACAACTCGGCTCTGAATAAGCCTGCCGTCTCCTTCGCCTCCCTCTCCGACTCCAATTCTGTCTGCTCAGTTTCCTCTACCTCGACGACAGCATCTACACCCACTCACGGCTCGCCCACCACCACAACACCTGTCTCGTCACCTGCTTCCTCAACTTCTTCCCCGACTCCGAGATCGACCTCGACATTTGATACCACTGTATCCTCATCCTCCAAGCCAGCCTCTCAAAAGACCGTCCACTTCCGCACCACCTCCAGCAGCAACACAACCGGCACCGGCAGCAACACCAGTAGCGCACCCCCGATCCCCATCCTCTCTGTCGTGCCTCCGCCTGGCCAAGACGGCGGCGACGGAGAGGCACGACGGCCCGCCATGCAGCGAGTTTCCTCCTTCCTCCCGTCCTGGGACAAGAGGGCGTCGGGTTCTCGACAGGGCCTCTTTGGCTGGTCCTCGAACCGCTCCAGCACCTCCATATCTGTCGCAAACGCCAATTCATTAACCAGGATAAACACGGCTGCCGCTAATGCAAATGGCCGAGTCCACCGGGAAGCCTTCTGGCCTGCGACCCTTGACCGCGAATGCGAGAAGGCTGCCCGCATCCTCAAGTCGTTCTGTAGTATGCCCGCCTCACCCACCGTTCGCCCTCGTCTCTGCTAACATGTGTCTGCTAGCGGATGGATATCTTGTGCCTCTTGAGGAAGAAGAGGACGAATCCCGGTCAACAACTAGCGAACCACTCTCCCCAAAACGAGTCACCAAGAAAATTCCTCGGCGCATCATCCAGAATGCCGCTGGAATCGCAATCTTTACCTGTATGCGAAGTGGCCTGTGGATGACGGGCTCCGGCGGCTCCGGCATTCTCATTGCCCGCAAATCGGACGGTACCTGGTCGCCGCCCTCTGGAATCATGCTACATACGCCCACTCTCAGCTTCATTATCGGCGTCGATGTTTACGACTGCGTCCTCGTTGTTAACAATCTCGCCGCTCTCGAGTCCATCACGAAACCCCGTGTCACACTAGGTGAAGATGTCGGTCTCACTAGCGGTCCTCTGGTGTCTCTCGACTCAGATGAGTCGCACATCAGGTGGAAGGACCTGGGCAACACCGTTTTGACATACATGAAGTCGCGCGGTCAGACCCAGGCCGTGAACTTGAACGGCTGCATCCTGGCCGAGAGGGGCAACGAGAACGAGCGCTTCTATGCTAGCCCCCTAACACAAATGGACATTCTCGCCGGCAACGTCGCGCGGAATGTGGATGAGACTATGCCGCTCTTTGAAATCATCAAGATGGCCGAGGGCCGCACAGACTACGACGCTGCTATCACGAGCAAGATTGCCATTGAGTGCGCCCCAGGAGACGCCCTCATTGCAAGCCCCAAGTCTTCGACACCAGCCTCTCCTCGCACTCCATTCGGAATTCCCAGCGCCGACGATCCCGATCCCTTTGGTGTTTTGGCCCTCGAGATGGCTGGACTAGAAATCAGAGAGGCCGGGTCGCGGTTAAGACCTACTAGCAGCCAGTTCGACTTCAACCCCGTGCCCACTAGCCCGGCCTACTCCAAGTTTAACAGACAGAGCGTAGACACATTTGTCACGAGGAGTAACCGTGGCAGCTACATGTCGTCACGCACCGTCAAGAGTCAGATGACGGATGCAGGAACCCAGACGGACGTTGGAAAGGACACACCCGAGACAACGCCAAGCCCAGGCCAAAGTGAAGACGGCCATGACAGGGCTTCTCGAGCACAAATCCCCGATGTGACGGAGGAAGAGGAGGAGATTGATTACACAAAGGTCGACTTGACGCCCATAAGACATCTCAGCGGAAATCACACTCCTGCCAGTGCAACCAGCCACAGTAGTACGACCGCTGTGGAGCACGACACTCTCAAGGTTGAGCCGAGAGACGACACGGATAAGGCATCAAGCAAGTATGATAGTGACAGGGATGACAGGAGCAGCCGCAATGCAGATGATGAGAACGACTCGGAAAGTGACGCCGAGGAGGAAGACGATGAAGAGGAGCCCGTGGTATTCGAAGTGGCAGCCGTGCAGCCGGCAAGGACCCAGGCTGTGGCATCCCGAGTGATCCACGCCAAGGGCAACATGGTGACAATCCCAAAGAGGATTCCTCCTCCACTGCCTATGCGGAGCCCTGCCAGGACATCTCGATCCAGTAAGAGCGAGATCGGCGATGTCACGAACCTCCGAAGCCCTCTGCGACATGCTTTCAACGAGCAGGACCTAAAGTCGGATGATGAGCAGCCAGCAAAGGCCCAGCCTTCACCCTTCCTGAAGCCTGTGGAGCTCAAGGTTGAGAAGGTCAGATATGATGAGAAGAAGGCTGAGGAATTCAAGCCCGAAACCTCCAGGATCCAGGAGCATTCAACAGACGATGGATCTTCGGATTCGGATTCGGAATTCTTCCCGGCCGAAGAGGACAAGGTGGTGGACAACAAGGTTGAAATCACCAAAATTGAAGAGGCCAAGGCTGAAGCATCCAAGATGGTGGACGCAAAGGCCGCCACTGAAGCTGAAACCAAGCCCACTCAAGCCGAAACCGAAGCCAAGACTGAGCCGAGGAGCATTGGAACATCCCCCACTATCCCCCAGATCGAGCATTCCGACAGCTCGGATACGGTTGCCAAGAAGCACACTTCCTCCGTCTACACTGGCGCAACCGAGGATCGATGGAGCTTCGATGGGTCATCACTCACGACTCCCACCTCGGACCGACCGTACTCGGTTGTTGACGACATTACTGAAGATGAGACGCCCCGAAAGCCAACCAGAGAGGTTGAGCGTATCGACATGAACGAGAAGCATGAAGAACTGGCCAAGATTGGGTCGAAAGAAGCAACCCCAAACACCATCACGGTTGCATAATTGAAAAAGACGAGACGACGATTTTACACGGGTAGATGGCATATGGCGCACGTCGTGAACTATTCATGGTAAAAGAACAACTTGACAGAACCCTGCGGGTTTTTGCGAGAGGCTTTTGAGAGACTTTTGCGCATTCTTCTTGTCAATACTTTTTTTGGTGGAAGTGTACGTTATGATGGGATCCTTGGGCGGGCTATTCATTCCCCCAGATGGCGTTTGGGAGGACGGAGGATGATTGTCATTGATTTCACAGCAAAGCACAACAGCATCCTCGGGCAGCGCAGAGCTGATACCGGTCCGAGGTGCAGGTGATGGGAGGAATGGGTATTATTCATGTACTGGGATGTGTCATGGGATGAAAGAAGGCAAAAGCCAAAACATATGGATGAAGGAATGCTTGTAAGCGAATGATCTGTCTGTTCAGTGGAGACTCGTTGCGGTTGTTGCTTTCATGCCTCAGTGTCTAGTGAAGAAGAGCAGACTACGCTAAAGTACTATTAATGCCGTTGAATACAATATGGGCCAGGAGAGAAATTGCCACTGGTTCATGAACAACTTTGCTCGACTAAATAAGGAGTGAATGTTTGGGGTTCCTCATAGGTGATTAATGTGGTGGTGAGCAGTGCCGGGCAGCTGGCAGCCAGCTCTGTTCGGTTTGCCCTTCGTTTATACCCATCATTCACCGATTCCTTTTGCTTTGAAAAATATTTCCACAATTCAATCATTTTGAATTCTTGACATCGATCCCGCAATCATTTTGGTCAACCACAAGAGCTATATCACTTGCTGAACTCAACACCATGACCCATCCTAACTGTCTAAAGACGCCCACTAAGAAGAGCAAGGGAGATCACGTGCGACAAGCCACACCAGAAGATGACCCTGCCCCAGCCACAAGCCCCACGCCACGGTACAGGCTACGCGCGCGGAAGGCTCAACCCTCGTCGACTCCATCGCGACGCAGTAGGAGCAGGCGCGACTCACTTCAAGGGCAGATCCAAGTCGACGACGACAACAACCTTCTCTCAACTCCACACCAGAACAAGCAACATCGTTCTCACAGCATCAACGCAAGCGCAAGCGCAAGGCGATACCGAAACCGTACAATGTCGAGCACGGCGGGCAAGTGGCGCGAAGAGCAGGTGCTCATCATCTGCCCTGGCAGTCGCAGTACCATGGCTCAGCTGGGGTGCAGCGAGCTGACTCCCCCAGCGCGGCGCATGCCCACGAGGATGTTTAAGGACGGCGATCAGTGGGCGCCGTACCACAGGACAAAGCGCATGACGATGGTAAACGGTGTTGAGGAAGAGGAGTGGGTGGAAGACATGGACGAGGACGAGGGCGCCGTGTACCCAATTGAAGGTATTTATTGTTTTTTCGAGGTGTGGAATGGGCTGCTGATTCCTTGTAGCTGGGCGCATCGTCAACATGAGCGCCTTTCTTGCCTTCCTCGATCATGTACACGGCCTCCTTACGACGACATACCACAACACCCCCATCATGCTGATGGCCTCGCCGCAATGGACGCGCCCCGACTGTGAGACCATCGCCCGATACATCTTTGAGAACACGCGGACGCCTGCTCTCTGCATAATCCATAGCGGTATCGCGACGCAGTACGGCCTCAAGTGGCCCAACATGACCGTGGTGGATATCGGCTACCAAAAGGTGGACGTGACAGCCATCCACGATGGTCGCGTTGTGAACCACATGGATGTTGGAGCTTCCGAGGGCGACAGCGAGGTTAGCGGAGGTGAGGTTTTCACCCGCAGCCTGCTCAATCTTCTGAAGGAAAAGGGATTCAACTACGACATGGCCGAGCAGCTGAAGAAGAGCGCCATCTGCGAGGTGCTACCCTATGTCGCCACCGCCGAAGATCTGATGGAGCTTCCTCAGCAGAACACTGCTGGATTGAAGCCTGGTGGTAGTGCTCCTAGTACTGGCCAGCAGGCGGCTTCATCAGCATCCAAGCCTGCAGCAGCTAACGGCGATGAAACCAATGGTACCGGAGAGGATGACGGTGTGTTGGACGTGGCAGCCATTGTCACGAGTGGCCAAACCAAGGAGTTCTTGGCCAAAAAGGAGAAGGAGAAGGAAAAGGGCAAGCCTGGTCGGAAGCCCAAGGGCGACAAGGAGGCTGATAACGCAGCTAAGGCGGTGCGTCTACCCAACTCGAAGCGATCGCACAATTCCTTCTCGTACGAGGAAATCATCCAAGAGGAGGTGCCCAAGGAGCCCAAGGAGTCCGTCGAGAAACAGGCCAATGGTGCGACTGTTCCCGAAGGTGAGAAGAAGGAGGGCGAGACAAACGGAGCTCAACCTCAACCTCAGGGAAATGCCACCACTGCCGCCCCTGCGACAACAGAAGCCCCCAAACCGGCAGAAGGCCAGGAGCAGACACAGCCTCCAGTAGAGCCCAAGCCTGAAGTCAATCCCACACCAGGTCCTCCCACCAACGAGGCCCCAGAACGTCGACCGAAGCGCATTCAGCGAAATGTCGAGGTCGGTCTTGAGCGGTTCAAGTTTGCTCAGCGCCGCGAGATCGACCGAATCGTTTACGCCATCTACCGCACCGTCCAGGGCGTCGACGACATGTACATGCGACCTGCCTGCTGGGACAACCTCGTCTTTGTCGGCAATGGCTCCCGGCTGCGCGGTCTCAGGGAAAACATCTTGCAGACTTTGAACGCCCGTCACCTCGTCTCGCCATCTACGGCAACTATGTTCACCTCAGAGCTGCCGTCTAACATGGCCACACCAACTGGAACAGGGGCGCAGACGCCCACCGGATCCTTCACAGGCATGCCACACCAGCTCCCTACAAGTGGCGTTAACCCCCTTTTACAGGCTGCTACAGCTGCCGCTGCGGGTGGTGCCAACAATGCCTTGACTCCCCAGGCCGCCTCCGAGGCCGGCGGTCCTGCCACTGGACATCACTTCCACAGCCAAACTCCGACAAGCATCAAGACGGCTACGCTGCCATCGTATCTTGGTGAATGGACCAAGAACGGCTTTGAAGAGTCCATGTTTCTCGGCGCGCAGGTGGCGGCGCGTATTGCTTTCTGCGTTCACTCCAACATGGACGCCCAGACGGTTGAAGCCCAGCGCCTGATGAGCCTGAGCCGGGTCGATTACAAGTAAGTTCTTCTGTCTTGGAAACTATGGACGCTTTTCACTAACATGTTTGAAGTGAGCTTGGCCCCAAGGGCATCCGCACGCACTCGATGCTAGGATAGATAGATTAGGATGACTCTGCTAGCTAGGTTGCTTTTGTTATAACATATCCTTTTGAGGGTTTCTCGTTCACATGATGATTTGGGGCTTCACGATGTGGACATTGGGCTTGAGGAGTTTTTGGGCGAGCGAAAGGGAACATGGAAGATGCAAAAGTGAAGAAAAGAAGGTCTAGTGGATAGCTCCTAGGAGAGGAGCAGCCATAATACCATCCATAGATTCAAGCTCGCCTTGTATTGATCGATATCACTACTATACTATATACTGACGAGCCACTCTGTCTTGTCGAGTTGAAAGCCTTCCTCTCATCTAGACAATACTAAGCGGAAGAGTGCCACTTCCCAAGCACGACCCAGTAATATAGCCAGCGTAACCGGGATTGCGATTGCCCCCCGCGAAGAAAACAGCCCCGTTGACCTCCCTGGTGTTCTGGGCCGTCGGTTCTGTGGTCTTCAATCCGAGGAACCCAGAGGTCACACCATAAGTGGCGAGGGGGCCCCAGGGCGGCCCGATGTTCTTGGACATGGTCGTGGCGAACCACTGAGGCTGCTGGCCGTACGGAACATAGGAAAAGTCGACGTCGGCCTGAAATTTGGCGGCTGTGCCCTTGACCTTGACATAGTCGATGCTCGGCCCGGGTCTGACGGAGGGGAAATTGTTCAGGTACCCGTTGGTGACAAAGTTGATGGACCCAATGCTACCCCCGCCGACACGGAGGACCACGTCGACCGGGTTTTCGCCGTTCTTGTTGTCCGCCGGCGGCGGGATGCCCCACACGAGCCACATGGTCCCCGTGGCCGTGCCGGCCTGGAAGCTCTGGAACCCGGGATCCCCCTTGACCGTGACGTAGCACTGGGTGAAGTTGAAGGTGGGTTGGCCGGCGGCAGCAGCTCGGCGGCCGAGTTCGACGAGGGCGGGATCCACGTCAAGAGGTGATGCAGTGGGCGAGGCCCAGACTGAGCCCAGCAGAGAGGGAAGAAGGAGAGAGGGCCGCATTGTGTGTAGGTAGAGTCTGTTTGAGAAAAAGGGGTCTTGGCAAGTATAATCTAAAGAGGGATACCGTAGATGTTTATATATTCACATATAATAAACAAGATGTCGGTCAGGACAGGCAGCTTACCTCGAAACTACTGTATCCCGAAGTGATGGGCGAGACCCTTCTTGGCTTGCTATGGCTTGAACTAAGAGTAATAGCCTCTGGGGCACATATGGAGCATTCACTCCGTGACTGGGCCTTATGATACGAGCTCTTTACCTGTCTCAAGTGTTAGCACCGTCAATAGCTCTGGTGTGAAGCCTGATTCAGCAAGCGTAGTCATGGTAGTCTCTTCGTGGCTGGCTCGACATGGTGCCGTGACCCGAGACAGCGGTACGGTGCGTTGAAGTGTTGAAAAGTCGAAAGTTGATATCATAGAGCTACCTAGTCTTGACAACTGGGTTCGCTTAACCGTACAGGAGCTACAGCCAACTTGGATTCCTCTGACAACTAAGCCTTCATTCGGCATTGACCACTCCCTACAAGGAGTTGTCCCATCCATGTTAACCCCAACTCATATTTCTTCCCTCAGGATCTATCAACTCATCTAAGTAGTAATCATGGTCGGGACAGTGGTATTACCAAAACACGACCCAGTAATCCAGGTCATGTAACAGGCATAATCAACCCCCCTGAACCAAACGGCCCCATATGTGCTCCTAGTATCCTTGCCCGTCGAGGTCACGTTTATAACGAGGTATCCTTCGGTCACAGAATAAGGAGCGGATGATAGAAACGCATGAATAGGGATTTGTGAATTGAGTGTCTGTATAGCCAACTAAAAAGTCTTGGCCTTGGAGGGCCAAGACCAGATATACATATATATGCATATACCTACCGACTCGACGGCACTGCTAAGCAACTCCAAAACAGGCAGCTAACTAAAAAGCCATGTCCAATTGTAGTAAAGAAAAAAACGGCTGAAGATCCATTTCGAGCTGAGGGAAAAAGGGCGAGACCGTCTTTGGCTGGTTGTGGCTTGAGCTGAAAGCAATAGATTGTTAGTCTCGGAGATACTAAGGCGGGCTAGAACATATATCTTGTCAAAGATGACATGATGTCGATGTCTTGGCCCATTTTTAAAACTAGCACCGTTGCTAGCTTAAGTATTAAGGTTAATGGGGTTAAACACTCACAATAGTCGTCGCGTGGCTCAATATATGCAGCGACGTGACCCGTACCGGCGGTGTGTTGAAGGCTGACAACATCACGACACAATGCAATTTCCATATTGATAGCTAGACTAGATTCGCTTTATTATCTAGAAGCTGTATAACTAACTAAATGATTACCTTCTCGCAATGCAAACAAATTATTACACACCATTTGATTCAGCAATCTTGCAAGGAATGTCTGGGCCCATCCCTTGTTATCCCTTCCCTTCTCTTGATAGCCCGCAGCGCCAAACTCTTTAACCATCTCATGCAATGAACCCAAAGCGGGCTCATCGTAGGTGCAGTAAGCACTGGACGCCACTGGATCCATCATTAACCAGCAGCATTTCGAAGAGCTGCCTCGTCAGCCGCCTTGTACCAATCTGTCTTCATCAGATAAATGTACTCGATCGCCGCGACCCTATTACCCCGGTTAGTATTTTCCTCTGACTTGATTTAACTAGGGAACTCACGAGAATGTGCCAACAGTGACACCTGCCCACAGTCCATCCAGCTTCCAGCCCAGACCAAAAGCCAGCGTCAGCGAGATGGGCAACGAGAGAACATAGTACGCAATCAGATTAGCTGGTCCTCCAATCGACTGCTTGCCGATTCCTCGGAGCAGTCCGTGGGCTCCAGCTGCGAGACCATCAAACACCTGCATCACAGACACAATCGGGATCACAGCTCCTACGAGCTCCACCACGTCCTCGTCCTTGGTAAACAGAAGGGGCAGCTTGTATCGGAGGCTGGTGTATAGGGTCAAGTTGAACATTCCGATAATGCAGGCAGCAGCAAAGGCCTGGAACTTGTTGTTAGCATCTACTGACCTAGGCACCAGCATGTAAAGTAAAACAGCAACTCACCACTTTAGCAGTCATCTTGGCAGGATCGACAAGCCCGGCTCCGATCAAGTTGGCGATTCGGGTCGAAGCAGCGATCGACATAGGGAATGGAATCTCGTACGAGAGAGTTGTAATGGTCGCCAGAACGCTCTGTGCGGCAAGATACTCGGGACCAAACCGACTTGAGCACAACGTGAGGATCTCAAAAGCCAGCCATTCCGCCTCAACCATGATCATGCCCGGTAGAGCAAGTCGAATCATGACCCACCAGTTGCTCAGAGCCCTTCGGCTGAAGCCACCCCAGCACTGGCGGCCGTCAATGAAACGGACGTACAGGAACAGGAAGATGGGGAGCAGGTTGTTGCTGATAGCCACGGCCGTGGGAGCGCCGACAAAGCCCCATTCCAACTTCCACACCAACAGCCAGCTCAGGAACACGTTGAACGGCGCTACGATGAGAAGGATGTACGTCGTCGCCCGGAAGAGGCCTTGAGCTTGGGTAAAACGCTTACCGCCCTCAAACAGGATGAAGCCAGGGATGCTGAAAATCATGACCCTGAGGTATTGTCCTGCTAGGCGAGCTGACTCAGGCTCAGGAACTATTGACGCGATGATGCCCTCGGAAAAGTACCATAGCACAGCGACAGGGACAGACAGACAGAACAAGAAGCACGTCATACGCTGAAACTGAAGACCTACAAGATGCTTATGGCCCGAGCCGTACGCTTGAGCACATAGCGTATCGAGACTAGTTGCGAGGCCCTGGAACGGGGCCAAGCAGCTGATGGCTGCAGACATGTTGGCCACTGCAAGAATTAGTTTGACCGTTGCTGCGAGAGACTGCATGTTGTAGGTAAGCACTTACACGAGACAGCACCCAGTTCCATCTTGCCAATGCGGCCAACGGCAAAGATGCTGGTGACGTTGATAGAGTACTGCAGGAGAAATGTGACAATGAGCGGCCCCGAGTATGACACAATCGTCTTGGCCTCTCGCTGCCAAGTCGTCTTGATCCGGTGCTCGGCCACGGCATGCTCCCATGTCTCGCTGAGATGCTCAGTGCCGCCATTCTGGGCCCCCAAAAGAGGTGCCGTTTCATCAGGCGGCTGGACAGTGACAGCGGGCGTCTCTTCATCCTCGCCCTGCGGTACCTTGGTGCTAAAAAGGCGGCGGTAGAGCCTGGGGAAGAAGCCCTGCGATTTATGTGCGTGCTTTGGTGGAAGGACGTGGTTGTCTCGCAGTAGACTAAGCTCAGCGTTGCGAGACTGCTTCCGTTCAAGAGCCGTCAGGCCTGGGTCGGCAAATGATTGCGGGTTTAGAACTGGCCGAGAGCCTCCAAAGGCGACGCCGCTTGGTCGACGGTACATGAGCGGTCCCGTGCCAAAGTCAGATACCGAGGCATCGTCGTCAATGGCGTTGTCCTCAAAGTCATCATCTGAACACTCAGCGATGTCTCGAGCCAGTGACTGCTCGGCCAGAGGCGATCCAACTCGCCATGATGACGATAAGGCTGGATGCGCTCCAGGGCCATGAGGGGTGCCATACGGCGAGGCTCCGGTGCCCCTACCGATTGGATCCATGGAACAGCTCGTGCAGCCGTGAGTTTTTGGGATGAGGTGTAGATGTAGCTTCAATCAAGAACAATCAAGTGCTCAAGTCTACGCAACAGACAGATTTCTTCAATGCGTGACGGAAGAGAACGAACGCCACCACTCAAGCTTCAGACGTGGAGAAGAGTGATCAAAAGAGAGTTGTACAAGGTTTCACACTGCCGGGACCTCCTCTCTCGAGTCAATCGGCTCTGTAGACAATGGCTCGAGGCGTGAAAATGAAGAGATAGAGTCGTAAGATAGAGTCGCAAGGTAGTTGCGGAAATGTAGTCACCAGAGTCGAGCTAAAAAGAGGCGAGATGGATCAACTTGCTTTTCAACGCGGACGGCAAAGCTTTCGGGTTAGTTTAGCGTCGACATGACCCGCCAGCCACAGCACAAAGGGCGTCCGTCAAGTCAAGGTGGAGTCTTTGCTATCTTCGGCCCGGCCAACTGACTCACTCCTCCGCTGACCAGCATCCATCTCGATTCGGCAAAAGACTTGCATCTTTCGCTACCTGCCGGCATCCCACCCACCTCGGCTGGCGGGGAGTCCGATGCCTATCGTATGGTTGGTGGATCTCGAACCATGCGGGGGTGGATCTTCGCTCAGGACCGCCTGTGGCCTGTGAGGTGCCCTTCTTCGTCTGTCATTGACGGCTCAGAGGCTGACAACATGAGTTGCTGCAGCTTGGGTAGCTGCCAAATCTTCTGTATAGTATAATGCCATTGGATCAATCAACCAGTTGCCTAGGGGCCAGATCTTAGCCCCCGTTTATCGTTCCCCCCACGCCCTGCCCATCCAATCAGGCTCGCTATGAACCATCGTCGCAACCCATGGTATTTCGTCGCTTCCATATCGTTGCAACGGCGTGTTGTACGGTATTCGTAGCCCAATTAGTGATCGCTTCTTCTCGCTCTGTTCTTCAGGTTTGGTGTCTGGGACATCGGTTTTGAATGTTCCAACCATGATCGAATCTGTCTCCAGCAGCTCTGGCCAGACCAAAACTCCAATTTCCCAAGATGCAATGCGCATTTCGCCTGTAGGGCGTGCAGCCTCGCCCCAGGCCTGCTTTGAAAGATTGGCCGACGTCAAAAGGGCCCAGTCGATGGATGACTTGTTTGATCTGATATACGTCTTGATGTGTGGCGCTGCTCTTTTTCGCCCGCCGTCCTTTACCGTAGCGCCCTCGGGGAGTTCTGTCGTCCATTAGGTACAGTCCCAACTGATTTCTTGTCATAGATGAACTCACTGGCTCCACTAGGAGAGTCATTTGCCCAGTGATGGAAAATTGGGCGAAGATATTCCAGCTGTTTTGCTTGCTGTGCCGACTGAATCTTTGTGTGGATGGAGCCTCCTGATGCATACCCATCCAAAGATCTCCGAATCTCGTCAGCAGTCGGAAACACGACCTTGAACTTGGGCTTTCCAAGGCTAGGGTTCTTGCAACGGGACAAAGGTTCAAAGAGAGTTTTCTTCAGCCAGTCTTCCTTTGCTCCCAGGGTAGCGATCGAGGATATCTGAACAACAATCTCCGATTGCTCTTGGTCTTCGCATGGAACTTGCTGCAGACATCTCTTCAGAGCAGCCCAACCCCATGAAGTCTCAGACAGATCGCGGATGTTGTGTCTACCAGGCACGCTTGCAACAAGAGCAGCTTTGATGCTGGAAAAGTCGTAATGGACGAGCTCGTCAGTCAGGGCCTTGCATGTGATTTTGCGCCTATCGTATGCCCGCAGATAGTTTAGCAGGTCGATTTTAAAGCGATCCCCACTACCGACGGGGTGATCTTCAGGAGAAGAAGTAGTATGAGTTGGCGCAACCGTCATCTTAGGAAGAAGAGGTGATTTCCAGATGCCATTTGTCATGTTGGTCCAGTCTTTGGAGATCATATTGGCGGTGTGGATGATGACTTGCGCAGTGTCGTCATGTCTGAATAGAATCATCATCTTGGAATGATGTGTTCCAAACATTTCCGGCATAGGAGCAATGTGAATTTGGACATTGTTGAATTCTGCGGCTGCTTGCTAAATGATATTAGCGACTTGAGAGGTTGCCAAACAGGGAGAGAGAGTTCCTGCAGCTCGACCGTAAGTTCACTCGAGAGCAACGTACCTCTATGGCGATTCGACTCTCGTCCTCGCGCTTCCAAAAGCCGTGTACGACGTGCACCTTAACAAGATGTCGTGTATCAGGGTCGAAAGCATCCATTAAAAAGTGGATGTCGTGGAGGAAGTTGAACTCCCAACATTCTGCAATGAGGGGGTCACCAAGCAGGTCTCGCAGGCTCACTGCATCCCTGTTGTCCTCCTCTGATAGGTCTTGTATCCAGGTCAGCTGCCAGGGAGACTTGATAGTCGACACCTCACGTCGCCTCCTTTTAGGAGGACTGATAGGGCGTTGTAGCGATTCGAGGATATGAGCCTGAGGGTCTTCAACCCGTTGACGCTTGGCTGGACGATCCATCCCCCCGTTGAAAATTGGATTCTTGGCCGATTTGGTGGACAGATGATTTTTCTGTGCGTAGTAGAGAGTCGTGAAACAGTGAGCTGTTGGCTGTGGAATCCGTGACAAGGTGCTTTTGTTGTGAGCACTAGTGTAAGGTCGGGGAATACAGGTGCCTTGTGTTGCTAGAGAACGAAGTGTAGGACGTGAAACAAAACCAGGCATAACTCAGACAGAGTCACCGGAGATTTCTTGGGTGTTTGCAAGAGAGAAGAAGGGAAATTCCGTGTGTGCTTTCGAGAAGAAGGAAGTCCAGGCATCTACATGTGGTTGGTTGAATCCATCATCGAAGGCAAGCACGGTCCTCTGTCGTGTGCCTGTTGAAGCAGGTACGCATCACTATAAAAGACAAGCCCCGTGTGGCTCAGCAGCCGATGCGCGGGCCCCGGTGTGGCGTCGAATTCCAATGGAGAACGTGGTCTCGAACTCCAGATGCGCCTCCTGAATGCCATCCATCCCGTCTCATCCCCTTTGTCGTCTTACAAAGCTTTTCTCTCTATCTTCGCTTTCGCCTCTCATCATCATCTACTTTTGCGCCTGGCGAGCGCGATTGTGGGCTTGCATTTCTGGTGTTTTTTATTTCTTCTATATCGCGATAGCTTCAAATATTCCGCGACTGCGACTACCATCGGCCGATACGACCGCCACTAATTACCTACCTATTACTACATTGTCCCTCTCGTCTTGATCATCGCTCCCCCACGCTCCGACGAGCCGACTCTGCCGTTCCCATCTCAACGTCCTCTTAGATCGTTTACGCCGTGCGTTCTGATCTGCTTCCTTTAACCGACCGCTGTACACGAGCCTTGCACCGACAAGGTGCGCTTCGCCCACCATGCGTTTCTCTCCCCTCGCGGTGCTCGCAGGGTTAACAGCCTTGGTGCACGCCGAGGAAGAAGCCAACCCGGTCACGGATCCCACTACTTTCAATGGAGTCTCAGTTCCTCCGTTGCTTGAGTTGTCGCCTACAACTTGGGAGGAGGAGCTCAAGAAGAACAAGTTTCTGATGGTTAAGCACTTCAGGTACTTGGTGCTCCTCAATCATCGCATAGCGCCTGCTCACTTATTATCAGCCCGTACTGCAAACACTGCACCCACTTTGCTCCGACGTACCAGACCCTGTACGAGTTCTACTATACCTCGAAACCCCAAGCCGACGGCGTCGATAAGTCCTTCTCAGAGTACTACGACTTCAAATTCGCCGTCATTAACTGCGTTGCTTACTATGATCTCTGCATGGATCATAATGTCATGTCATACCCGACTACAATCCTCTACGGAGACGGAAAGGAGATCCAGAACATGAGAGGCATCAAGAACATGACTGTGTTGAGTAGTGCGATCGAGAAGGCTCTTGCAGTTCCACACCCAGGTCGAGCTGAGATCCTCGAACTCCCCGAGCCTGGCGACACAGTCTTCCCTAAACCCAAAACTGAGGAAACGACAGAGCTCCCCGATGCTGAGAAGAAGGAACCAGAGAAGGATCCCAAGGCGGCTGAGGAGAAGCCTGTCGGCGAAACCACCGAAAAGCCCCTGGAAAAGGCCGCTGAGAACGCGGCCGAGGAGCCCGCTGGTAAGGCCCCTGGCAGCTCGCTCGACGACATCACCGAGACCCCCAAGGAGGCAGCCAAGGACGAGACGCCGGAAAGCCCCAAGGAGTCCACCGCCGCTAAGGAAGGCGAGAAGTCGTCATTTGGCGATGATTGGAAAGTCCCCAGCACTGGTCAGATGCTCAAGAAGACCAAGCCCAAGGACGCAACGCCGAAATACAACCTGGATGGTGTCAGCACCCCCTTGACTCCTGACACCTTCCCTAAACTTGTCACCAACACGAAGGACCCCTGGTTCATCAAGTTTTACGCCCCTTGGTGCTCTCATTGCAAGGCGATGGCCCCTACTTGGGAACAGCTGGCCAAGAAGATGCAGGGAAAGCTTAGCATTGGTGAGGTCAACTGCGAAGCCGATCACAAGCTTTGTAAGGAAATGGGCGTCTCGGCGTTCCCCACCATTCTGTTCATGCAGGGCAATGAACGAGCGGAGTATAAGGGCCTTCGCGGTGTTGGTGACTTTGTTGAGTATGCCGAGGGAGCGCTCGAGGTTTCTGGCGGCATCCTTGATGTGGATGCTGCCTCCTTCGCTGAGCTTGAGAAGAGTGAGGAGGTTGTCTTTGTTTACTTCTATGACCATGCTACCACGACAGAGGACTTCAAGGCCCTGGAGGCTCTGCCGCTCAACCTCATCGGGCGTGGCAAGATTGTCAAGACGAACGACCCTGAGCTCTGCACCAAGTTTAAGATTACGACCTGGCCTAGACTATTGGTTTCGAGAGAAGGCCGTGCGACCTACTATACTCCTATCACCCCTGACGAGATGAGAAATGTTGATGAGCTGGTTTCCTGGATGAAGTCGACGTGGCTGCCGCTTGTCCCCGAGATGACTGCCATCAACGCCCGCCAGATCATGAACCACAGGCTCGTCGTGCTTGCTGTCCTCAACCGGGAGGATGAAGGCCGATTCCAGAACTCCATTTTTGAGCTCAAGAACGCGGCCAACGAGTGGATGGACCGTCAGGTTCAAGAGTTCCAGATGGAGCGTAAGAAGCTCCGCGACGCCAAGCAGATGAGGATCGAGGAGGCCGAGGAGCGTGATGACCAGCGTGCTCTTCGCAACGCCAAGGCCATCAAGATCGACATGGACTCTACTCGCCGTAAGGAGGTTGGTTTCGCCTGGGTTGACGGAATCTTCTGGCAGAGGTGGCTTGCCAGCACCTACGGCATCGACGTCAGGGATGGCGATCGTGTCATCATTAACGAGGAAGATGTAAGTACTTCCCTATATCTGACACTTTTGGACAGCATTAGTTACTAACGGCATGCAGCGACACCAGTTCTGGGACACGACTCCCACGGGTAACCACATCATGATCAGCCACACATCCATCATGGACACTCTGGACAAGATTGTGTATGGACCCAACCCCATCTCTCCCAAGTACACCATCAGCTCGTTCGCCAAGTTCTTCTTCGACATCCAGATGAGCTTTGTTGACCGCCCGTTCCTCTCGTGCAGCGTCGTCGTTGCCATCTGCTTCGGCGTGTACTACTGGTTCCGCAACCGCACCCGACGGGCTCGTGGCACCTTTTTCCGCATGGATGATTCACTGGGTCTCAAGGATGGCTTGCTTGGCCAGAACGGCAACGCCAAGTCTGACTAAGGGACACTGTGAGGGATGACAGCAGTGTGAGATGGGAACCAGGCCGCTCAGGATGTGGCTCCTTGGGCCGTTGCCGTGTCCCGAGACATGTGTCCGGGGTTGAGAGTCACGGCGGTGGCCGCAGTCGGGTTGTGTGGCCTGATGAAAAAAGCAAGTAAGGGGTTGATGGATGGGTTCGCATTAGTTGGTCGATATTGTCGAATTACGGAGTTTTCTGGGTTTGGTATTTACCTTGCTTGGTACTTGGGATCCCCATGCGTGGCACCCTGTATACTAGTTGATGTGGAAACGCACCGCTTGCATATGTCAGTTACCGTTATGCCTTGCTCCCTCGCTCGCCCGCTCATTTGTGTGTTGTGTTGCGTTGCTAGCTTGGCTACACAAGTTGGCCCTTTTCTCTCGTCTCCGTCCTCGGGCTGCGCAGTCGTTGATGTGCGTATTGCATGTAGTTCAACGGTCTGGGAGCTTGCATCCGTGGGCATCCGTCGCGGCGGGCCGTGTGGGAGAACGGCCTGCACTTGGCATGGTGCTTGGGTAAAGCCAGAGATGACAATATGGAAGAGTACAGCTCGTGAAGAACAAAGTGACATTCACTAAGATGGTCCAGCAAGACACAAAAGTACCAGCGTTAGATGTATCCATCCGCGTCCAATCCACCCATGTGCCACATCCAATCTGCCCTTTCTTCCTCCCTCCAACTATCTAGGTGTAAAGCTCATTGGTAAGATCGTTGAGAGCCAGACCCTCCTTGGCAATATCGTCGACGTCGACAAGGAAGTCGAGAGGCATCTCCACAAGGGTACCGCGGATGCGCGACAGCCACTGCCTGACCTCGTTGACACCGCCGGGGAACTCCTCGCGAATAATGTGGCCGTACTCGATCTTGCCCTTCTTGGCCTCCTCCTCGGGCTTCTGGCCCTTCTTGCCGGGGATGATGAAGTGACGGGCAAAGAAGTCGTCATAGTCCTTCCAGGTGCGGACGTGGTCGTTGGGAACGGGGTGAAAGGCCCTGCTGAAGGTCTCGGTGTTGACGCGCGCCGTGTCGGTCCAGAGCTGCTGGAACTTGGGGTGCAGCGGGTCGCGGACCAGGAGGTCGGCTGGGGAGCCCCAGTCGTATACGTTGGGGTCACGGTCGACGGGGGTCCAGTTCTGGTTGGGCTGATCCCAGCGCTGGTCGGGGATGAGGCCGAGGTGCTTGCGGAAGATGTAGCGCCGGAGGGACGAGGCGAAGCGGGAGGCCGTGTAGGGGCGGCCGTCCATGTAGGACTCGACGGGGGTGGGATCCTCGATGACAACAGCGATCTCGGAGTCGTGGGATCCTAGCTGGGAACGATCGTTCAGGTTGGCTGAGCCGCAGATGACGAGACGATCATCGACGATGAGGAGCTTGCTGTGGATGTAGAGCTCCTCAGTCACGAAAGAGTTGATCTCATCCTCAGGGTTGCCGTCCCAGCGCAGGTCAGTAACCCTGGGACCTTGATCCATGTAGCAAGAGCTGATGGTATCGAGAGTCCTATCCGCAACCTTGTGGGCCTCTTGCTGATATCTGTCGTATCGATCGTGTGAGGGGCGAGACTGGCCGGACTGGTTCTCGTACGTAGTCGTCTTTTGCTCGTATCTCGAATGCTCAGAGTATCCGCCCCCCTGATACTCTTGACGCTGTGGTCGACTGTCGTACCTCGACTCTTCGTGTCCTCCCTGGTACCGACCAGGCTCCGGTCTGCCGTCGAACCTTGGGTCCGCGCCGGGGTGACGGTAATCGTCGCGCTCAGGTCTTCGGCCGTAGCCTTGAGAGTCGGGTCGGCGGCCATAATCGTCATCATGTGGCCTACCGCCATAGGCAGGACTGGAGTACCCCCCTTGGTACTCCTGGCGCTGAGGTCTCCCCTCAAAGCGAGGGTCGGCACCCGGGTGGCTGTATGGATCCCTACCGCCCTGTCTGTTTTCTTGATATCCTCCACGGTAGTCATCATCCCTGGGCCTACCACCATATCTAGAGTCAGAATAACCACCACGGTCGTCATCCCGATCATATCTACCACCAGACCTCTCGCTTTGGTATCCCCTAGACTCGGATTGATATCCTCTAGACTCGGAGTATCCACGGTTCTCGTCACCACCACGATAGTCTGAGTCAGGGTAGCCACCAAGTTCCTGGTCCCTTTCCCTTCTCGCCTCTTCGTAGGACACACCAGCGCGGGCCTCCACATCGGCCATGGTTCGAGACGTGTTGATGCGGTCATAGTTGCGGAGGTTGTAGAATCCAATGTACCTGCCAGGGTCACGGATACCGGCCTTGCGGAGTTGTTCGATGATACTGTAGCCACCGCGGCTGATCGAGTTGTACTGGAATTCCATAATGGCGCGAGTTCCCAGTGCCTCCTCGGCCTGCAGGTCGCCGGCAAATGCAGGGACGGCTGGCATGAGCACCCAGACGTGGAAGGGTTGTCCTTCTTGAAAGGCACGGACGATTCGGTCCACAATGGCAGCACCGATCTTGTTCTTAACAGGACGCTGCTTGTCATCGGTAGCGGTGATGAAGAACTGACAGACTTAGCATAGTCAGAGGAACAGTATCAGACGTCATACCTGATTCTCGATATAGACAAAGTGTCTGGCGTTGCGAATGGCTTCGGTGTATGCATTGGCGATGGAGTGTTCGACAGGATGACCAGAAGACCACTCAGAGCAGCTACAACAAGTCAGACAGGGACAGCAAGGTGAGATTTTCCTCAGCATACCTTCGAGTCAGCTGAATGCGAGGCATTTCACCATCGCGGGATCGATGTCTACGGTGACGCGGCTCATCATCATCATCTCCAAACGACATGAGCTTGTTCATGCCACGGCTGAAATGTTCCGTAAAGCCGCCCAGGTAGTCATCGTCCTCTCCCGAGTGACCACCCCGGTGACCAGAGAAGTTTGACGGTGGTAGCTCGAGCTTGTGATACTTGCCTGGGTTCTTCTTGGCATATTTCTCCTTGAAAATGAAGTTCCTACAGGGGTTAGCAACAGGCTCTATACAGTGAAGTTGGCACCTTACCATCGGTCGACGAAATGATCGACAAGGTTGCTAGTGATGGGTCCGTTCATGCTCAGAGCGACATCAGACCAGCCCATTCTAGAGCTCTTGGTACGGTCAACTATCAAAGGTCAGGACGACACGCTCAGGAGTGATACATGGTTCCCCTACGCTTGTTCTGGTTCCAGTCTTGAACGTCGGCAAAGTCATAGACTCGGGCATTGTTGTAGTCCTGTCCGGGGAAGATGATGGCGTCCAAGTCACCAGGATGAGCGTCGGCGATCGGGTGGCCTATTGATGTGAGTAACGGAAGCAGGGGCAGCACCCAAGTAACTCACTGCTGGTGTCCCATCGTCCGAAACCTGGGGTTGTTGTTAGCAATTGATGGAAATCAGCACATGGTAATTGCCCATACACATATCAAGTCCACCCATAAAGGCAAGTTTTCCATTGTCGACAACGAGCAACTTCTCGTGGTGTGCCCAGTACAGAACAATGCCGTCTGCAGTACCATAGACAGCCTTGATGGCATCACCAGAAGCCTTGGCCAGATCCATGTTGGTCAAAGCCTTGAACGACTTGCCCAGCTCCTTGGTGAGGTCATAGCCAGTAGGAAGATGGTCAGGGTGCCGGAAAACGCGGATATTATCGCTGAGTTTCTCTAGAGAGGTTCTCGTATGCTACCAGCGGACATGTTAGCATGCCTTCACGGCCCGTCGGTCCCGATAGAGCTCACCGCCGAATTCAGAGTGAGGGCTGCCTCAACCTCCTTGTAGACGATGATATAAACCTTGACACCCCGGTCGGCAGCGGCCTTGAGCATACGGTCCAGTCGATATTGCTCATTCTTGGCCGGAGGACGACGGAGGTACAGCTCAGGGCTCAGCCACCAATCGAGGATGAAGATGTTCTCCCGGGCCTCTACCATGCGTCAGATAACCGCTTCTGGATAACTGCAAGTAGAAGGGTTGCTGCGACTCACGCTCAATCGCCTGCGAGACGGCCCAGAAGTAAGAGGCGCCGTCGACATACCACTTGGCGTTGCCGCTAGACTCTGGGGCAAAGGACTGGTAGCGGTTGTTGGCGGTCTGCTGAGCGTTATAGCTGTGGCTCCCTCCGCCGTGAGATTCAGAATGCTGCTGCTCTTCCTTGCCGCCAAAGGCATTCTCAACCTGCTGGCTGAGACCCTCGACGTGCTCGCCGACCTTTTTGAAGAAGTCCATGTCGTACGACGGGGCACGCGACCTGATGTTCAGAGACCTAGAGGGATATCAAGACACGGTTGGTGATGGGGCAAGATGACAGGATAAATGCAGCTCGAGCTGTAGCTGATTAGCTTATCCAAGATGCAGGTAATCAAGCAGATGACGAGATGAGGTTGCAGTGACAGTGACAAGCTGACGCCATGGAACGGCCCGAAGTCAGCGGGTAGAGGAAGATGATGATTCTCGGAAGATGCATGAAGCGGAGAAGCAATGGATGGATCGATCAATCGAATTGACTGGAGCTGAGCTGAGCTGAGCTGGACTGCCATTCATAGACGGGCATCCACATGCCTTTCAGCCCGGCCAGGCCTGTCTGTGCCTGACTGAGACTTTCCGCTCAATGACAAGCACCCTGAGAGCTTCTGGACCCCGCATCACGGCCTCTACGTAATCTGCAAACAGGGCCAGCTTGAATCGTGAAAGCTGACGAGTAATAAGTGATTGAGTACGTAGATAGGTACCTACCTATCCATAACAACTTCAACTTCAATCGAAACAGGAATGATGGCTGAATTGTTAGTTGCATACAAGTTGGTCGCCAAGCATTCATCACTCATCAACTAGTTCCACTGCCGTCCATGGATCCATAGCCATGTCCACATTTCCATCACCAGCGGCCTCTCGCTTATCGAAAACACCACAACTCAGTCTTAAGCATACTAGTTACCTGCTGTACCTAAAAGGTCCCGGATTGTCGCGTGCCTGGCCCAGCAAGAGCGAGCATCCATGGATCCTGGCCGATCCTCCTTTCGAATGCCGGGCCCTGCTCCCGGGTTCATGGAAGCTCGTCCATAGGGCTCTCCCCGGGCAGCCACTTGACGGGATGCAGCACTTGGGCTGTATACCACCCTCTTTTAAAGAAGACCATGGCCCGAGTGAGCAAGGTGACCAGTTAGCCCCTTCTTCACCGACTTTACCTCTCAACTCAACAGCCGAGGATGTTGATATCTGAAACTCGTCCTGGTAACCGAAATATCGTGGTCCTCTTGTTGCTTTTCCCAACACTCAACGCCCGTGTAGCCGCAGCAGCACCGTCTTACAGGCCAAGCGGCAACAGTGTTTGTACATGGCCGTGTGTAGTTTGTACAAACGCTGGGTCTTTTCCTGATGCTCATGGGGCATGTTTGGGACAATGAACAACTGTATGAGCGCAACTGGTGCCCATCTCGTCCCTCAACATCGTCTCAGTGCCCAAGAGACAGCCCAGGACACGCACGTCCAAGACAGCCACACACGTTTCAACAGCTTGCCAACTGCCAGATTCGTAGGTGCGCCATTTATTCCGTGAATCTGCTACGACGGTGGCGTACAACCCTCTCACGGTTCCGCTGCCTCGACAGGATTCCACGTTTGAAGGTGTGTGTCGTGCTCCTGTTGATGGAGGGCTGCTGCGTGTAGAGGTGGTGCAGGACAGGACAGCGGAGCCGTTGCGGCGGGAGCTAGAGGGTCCCGGCAGGTGCAGTCACCCCCGTCCACCGGCATCCCCCTTGAGCACTATGGGGCGGACTCAGGGGCCGGCGCCGGCGCCGAGACGCTGGAAGGTGCTGGCACTCGCTGTCTTCCAGGGCTCGCTGCAGTGGCTTGCAGGGGCTTGGAAAATTCGGATGATTTTTTTTTCACTGGCGGCTCCATACGAAACCTTGCAAATTGGTGGATGGGTTGTGATTCTTCTTCTTCTTGCTGGACGGAGGATTCATCAGTGAATTCATTCATTCCTGTCATTTCTGGACTACTGACGGAGTACCCATTCCGTCGACATTCACCCTTTTTAACTTCCTGTGCCGATATTCTCCGAAACCGTCACCTTCTTGATAACACAAGAGTACTCTTCTCTACTCTGCCTCTTCCTCTCCCTCATACTAGCTCTACTTTGCCCAGTCGTTTACGTTACCAGTCAATTGAGTTGAGTTTACTCGGCCTTCTCCTGGATCTGAGTCTAACCTGGGATGTCTTGGTCTTGGTCCGCTTGATCGGAGAACGAACCAATATCCCCTCATCAATAAGCCTCTAAAATCTTGCCCAGCCCAGCATCAGCTTCACCAACCATCAACTTTACTCGACCAGCCTCTGCAACTCGTCGTATATCGCCTTTGGGCAATCGAAACCAAACCTGTTGCGGCCCAAGTTGAAGACAACCACAAGCCCTACCCCATATGGGCTATGCATTGACATCCATCTATACTCTTACTTGACGGCTTATTCACAACTACCACACCCCTTACTACACAGCTTTTGTTCCAAATACTCTCAGCTCATACGAATTACTTGTTCAAAATGTCTGGCGCAGGAACGGTAGCCCTCTTCTCCCCGAGCCAACACGGCCACTTGATCCCCTATCTCGCCGCCATCCACGCATCCTGCATCACCCATGACCGCACCATCGCCACGTTCCTCCCCCCTCTATCCCACGAGAAACTCCTCGCCTGGTGGAAGGAACGCATCGCAGAGGTTGCTGATGGCAAGCGTCTCATCTTCATCCTCCTCAACGAGTCTGAACCGGGTTCTCGGCCGAAGGGGTCCGATGTTATGGGCGTTGTCATGCTTGCCATGCCCTCCTCCGAGACGGGACCCTTCCGCGGCGTCGTAGAGAAACTACTCGTCCACAAGACGTTTCGCGGCAGGGGAGGTGCCAGGACTTTGGTTTCCGCTCTCGAAGCTGAGGCGGCGCGGCGCGGCAGGACGGTACTGGTAAGTTGGATCAGGTTACCCCCTGTGTTGTCGGAAGAAATGTTCTAACCGGATTGGTCTCAATTATAGCTCCTCGATACCGAAGCTGGAAGTGTCGCGGAGGAAGTGTATAGAAAGTTTGGCTATGTCGAGCTCGGCCAGATCCCCAAGTATGGTCTGAGTCCAACAGGGGAGCTCAAGGACGGGACCTTCTTTTACAAGCATCTCCAGTTGTGAGGTATGATGCTACCAGACGTGGTCCTATGACAGGAGCTGTAGGCGCGAGGATTGGTTTGTTGCTTGTTTCAATACCTAGGTAGTACTGTAGAGCCTCCCGGAAAGGGGGTCGGAGAGCGAGGCGACTCGATTTTGCTGTTCTCATGGATTCTGGCCGGCGAGGAGCTTTGGTTTGATTTTAGATCCCGAAAAGAAAAAAGATGAATTGTGAAAGGAGCTCAAGGTTTCTGTCTGCGGTGAAGTTAACCCTTTTGCTATTAACACGCAAAAGAACCCAACCACTCATATATCTAGGCCAGCTTTCATACCAAATATCAATGCAAAGTAGGTATCAAGAAGCACGGCACCAACGACCATCGGCTGCATTCCTGTATCGACCAATGTCTTATATCGAGGACATCCTGCTCCATTACTACCAATGACTGCACAAATAGCAAGAAATGTTGATACACAATTCCAGAAAACGCCAACCACCCGGGTTCACAACTTTTTGTACATGATCTACTCGTCGTCCGCCAGCTCCTCGACCTTTGGCGCCTCATAGTGCCGTTGGTGTACACCAGTCTTGACCTGGGTATCTGTGCCTGTCGTCGTCGCGCTTGTAGGCGCAACTTGTCCTGTAGCAGCGGCGAAGGCAGGGTTGGGGCTGGTTCCGGGAGCAGCCGCTGCTGACTTCTTCTTCTTCTTCTTCTTTTCCGTCTGTGGTCAAGTTAGCATTCCTCTAGTTTCACCTTGACTAGACCTCTACTAACCTCATGCCAAGCCCACACAGGCTTGAAACTGTCCACGAACGAGACATCTTCCCAAAGGTTGGGGAAGAGCCACAGACCGGGAGGTGTCGTGAAATAGGTAATGCAGAACAGAATAACACGGAAGATGGCCATCACAAAGAACAAACCAAGCAGTCCCAGCAAACCCCAGCTGAGGTAGTAGACTCCTTGGCGGAGCACCAGTGGCCAAAGAGGGTACAGGACGACAGCGAAAATGGCGAGAAGAGCCAGAGCAGCATAAATCTGGCGCTTGATCTGGCTACCCTCCCACAGCCAAATGTAGTACATGTCGTCCTTGGCCTCTTGTTGTTGCTCGATCTTGACGGTCCACTGACCCTTGACACGCTTGGGCTTTTTGCCGTTAGGACCAGCCTGGGGCTCGATCTTGGAAACTCGCAGGGCGAGCATGCTCAGAGGCAACAGCTTGAAGGTATTCTCGAGGGAAGCTCGGTCGGTGATTTCAGGCAGGAGGGGGTTCTTCTTCCGGGCCTTTTCGTATGCGGGGGACTGCAGGGCTCGGAGGGCTCGCTTGACTGTGCCATGTTAGCGTGTGAATAGCTTCATGCGCCGAGCCAACCTACCTCGAAACATGTCCTTGCGCTCGCCGTTCAAAATGACAGTTCGAGGCTTGAGCTCCTGGCCTCGCAGGAACTTGGCCAGAGCGATAGCCTTGGGGTTGGGAGGTCCAGGAGTAATAGGCTGTGGGCGACCCTGCTGTGGGTGAGAGTGACCGTGGCCATGTTCGTGGTCGTGGTCGTGGTCGTGGTCATGGTTGCAATCGGGGCCATGAGTGTGGCCTCCTTGCTGTGCCTGTTGCTGGGCGCGCATTCGCATCTGCTCCTGCGCCTGCCTCTTGATGTGCTCAATGAACTCGGGCACAGTCATGCCGGCCTTCTCGGCGTCGATGGCGAGTTGGCGCTGCATGGCCTGGATCTGCTCGGGCGTCGGTCGCTGGCCCGGCATGGGCATGGGAATCTGGCCCGGCCCGGGCTGAGGGGGTGGAGAGGACATTGTGCAAGGTGGTCAATAAAAAGAGTGTAGAGAAGAGTTAGTTCAGAAAAAAGAGGAAAACGAACAAGCACGGTGGTGAGGTGAATTAAAGAGATGCGGGTTGGGAGTTTATTATGAAAGAGCGAACATGAACTGCCACTTGGACCACACTGTGCCAATCATCTCATAGCTCACCCAGAGACAACGGTGTTCACTTCCACTTTCCCAAGATCGTGCCCCAATAATTGCCGGCCGGATTTCTAATTCCCCGTGCTCCGGCTTATCTTCACGTGATAGCGCATCCGGGGTGAACTGACGTCGACTTTCTGAGTCGCACTCTAATCTTTGAGAGCTAGTAGGTATCGCGGGAGTCCAGCAACCTGACAGCCACCACCATGGGCGACCGCTTAACTCAACTTCAGGATGCTGTTGACCAGGTTTGCGCTTCTTCTTTGTCACTAGCAACATTATAGCTGACACACAAAACAGCTTGCGCAGCAATTCGTCGCATGCTTGCACTATGTAAATAAGCGACATGATCTGGAAACCTTCGGTCCCAACGACAAGATTCGCGACGTTAAAGATGCTCCGAAAGAGGGTGCGGGATCCAGGTTTTCACTCATAAAATGCACCTAGATACTAACCATATCTGCAGTCGATTCCCTACCCCCGGACGAGTTTCGAGCTGGAATGGTCGAACTGTCGCAAGACCTGATTCTCAAAGAGCAGCAAATTGAAGTGCTCATCTCTTCGCTCCCAGGCCTGGACAACAGCGAGATGGATCAGGAAAGATACATCAAGGAACTCGAGGAGGATTTGAAGGTTGCCGAGGCTCAGCGCCAAGAAGCTATCAAGGAGAAGGACCAAATACTGTCCGAGCTGGACTCTGTGATCAGCAGCATCCGACGCCCTTAAGTGTTTCTGTGCTTCTCTGGTGCCACGCGCCAACATCTTTATGGTTGCATACATAGCGAGGAGTTCAGGTTGGGCAACGGCAGGTCGGGGCTTTGATCCATGCAGGCTTAGTCGAGCTTGTTAATGAATGCATAACGCAAATGGTATCTCATTCCGGGAAGTGCCTTAAACGCCACCTCTCAAGGGGTTTGTCTATATTCCATGTGCGATCTCTTCTCATTCGTTCAAATCTAACCCAAGCAACACTTACGCAGCATCTGATGCCGATTTGAAGAATTGCGGATAAATGTTACGCAGCTCTCTAAGATGGCGGATCTGATATTGTGATGCCTGGGTCTCGGGAACCTGCACCCCTTCCTCAACGAGATGGGCAGCTGTCCAGCCAAACTCTTTCGCCTGCGTGCAGTTCAAGGCAGAGTCATCTAGTCGGCCATTAGCATGATTGCAAAAGGACAAAGAACAAGATAGTAAACATACCAACAAAGAAACAGTCCTCCACTCGCTCCACACCTGCTTCGCGCATAGCCTTCTTGTACATCTCTGGGTCGGGTTTGCAGATCAACGGTTGATCGGCATAATTGCAAAAGGTGAGCCCATCAAAAAGGTCGTCGATGCCAAGAAGACGAACCACCCGCTTGCCGTGGTTCACATACGCATTTGTGAAAAGCCACATGGTAACCTTGGTCTTGTCAATGTCCTCAAGGAGTTGTCGAAGCTCAGGATTGGGCTTGATGATTCCCTCGAGAGGTAGTGCATCGTCCACCTTGGCGTTGTAGTCGAGAGGATCAATTTGGTGGTGTCGCACGAGACCTTCAATGGCCAGGCCATAGTTGGTGTAGTATTCCTTGTGAAGCTTCACAGCCTCATCCCAGGGCAGCTCAAGGTGCTTGGAGAAGTATTCGTCAATAAGCTTTGCCATAAGATCATGAACCTTGGCGCCTCGATTCTCGGTTAGCCTGTGGTCATCATAGACCCTTCTCTAAAAACTCACTTCTTGGGTACAAGCAGTTGTCAATGTCGCTACGCACGTGTCAGCTCAAGTCATTCATTCAATGTCATGGCAAAAGGATACTTACAAGAACAAAACCGGCTTCCCGGTGCTCACGCCATTAGTGCTGCCCATGGTTGATTTGGCACGGATCTTTGTGTTGGTAAGGCGACTGTTGACGTTGGAAGAGCGAAGGTGCGATGTCGGGTATGAGACACGGCGTGAAGGTGAAAGGGCCAAAGATCTGAAGACGGGATTGAGTGAAATAAATGCTGAGACACGTGGTCGTAGTTGTAACATTGAATGGCTCATCAACAAGAAAAGCCGAGTTAAATGTTTGAGGGCGATCCAAGCCAAAAGCGAAGAATAGCACTTGCTCAATCAATGATAGGAGCGATATTGACGTCGTAGCCCACCCACCCCCAGTGACTCTTTCGGCGTAGCTGAATAATCCCCACTGTACCTGCGTGGACAGCTCCGATCTCCGATGACGGGAGCGGAGGCTCCGTGCAACTACAAGTCATCATGGCCATGACAGAGAAACAAGTGAGATGGGTTTTCTTGCCCTATATGAGAAATGGCTGATACTTTGTAAGAGCGATAAAGCATATATAGATAGATACATTGCTTTACATCGAGTCCAGAAAGGTTCAATGATCGGTTCGCTAGAAGGGCCACGATGGGAGCCCAAGTGTGACAGTGGAGCTGTCTCCCACCCATGATCGAGTCAATAGTATTTCATCTCCCGTGAGGAAGTCATCCTTGGACAAACGTTTCAAGTGCCGTGCTTCCAGATGAATACATTGTGAACTCTTGGAACTAAAATCTACATTGCATGTCGCGAGGGGGCTTCATCATTTATCTTAAAGAGATGAGTAGATACTGAGACGTGGATCTTAGTAGTTCTATAAGTGATCATAACGGGGAACCTTGATGGCATATGGAACAACATGTAATCAAGTGATTGGGTCAAGTGTATGCGGGCCTTGTAAATACGATATGCCATGGATCAAAAGAGCTCCTCGTATATCTGTGTATTTCTATTTCAGTGGGGATACATCAAGCCCTCGAAGCTCCTCGCTGGAGTCGGTGACGGATGGGTGCCACTGGGATCGTCGATTCTGCCACATCCGGCCAGTCACACCGCCTAAATTAATTTATCGCAGCCGACCACCAACTGCCATCCCTCCCCTCTAAACAACATCAACTGTCCATCTCGCATTTCAAGAAGCATCTGCTAAATTACGCGTCTCGCGCGCCGCTGCTTGTCGATATTTTGCTTACGCATAGCCGACCTGAAGGCGCCCTTGCTTTGGATAGGCACTGGGTAACGCGACGTGTGCTTTTCGTTTCTTGCCGACATGGCACAGGGACATGTTGTTCAGGGGCAGCTTGCTGGCGGGGATGAGCTCCTCGGCCTGTCTAGCGCCCAGCGTCATCGATTCCATCAGTACGAGAAGATCGTGCGATTCTCAGACACGATCCTATCTGGTAAACACCCAAGCATCAAGCCTCCGGCTAATCTGATTGCAACTGCGCAATCCTCCATCCACCCAATAGATGTCACCATCGAAAATGGTGCTTCCAACTATCAACCAGACAAGTCGCAGTACTCTGTCGCGAAAGCCCAGCTGCCGGGCGCGTCGAGCTCTGGTCTGCCTGCCATACCCCCTAGCACAACCAAAGTCAGCAAACCTTACGGGTCTGGGACTGTTGAGATCAATCCCATTTTCCTAGAAAAGTCGGACGATCTTGTCAAGGCAGAGTTTCAATTGCAGCGGCAGAGACTGGAGCGTACTTTGAGGGACGAGGTTGAGCAACGGCGGGCGGCAGTTAAGAATGCTGCTCAGGGAGAGCCTATTCCCGACTTCGACCTTAATGACGTGTTGACGAAGGCTCTGAAACTCGTCGAAGCCACTGCCGGGCCTGCTCCTGATGATGACAATCCCGCTACTACTAACCTCGAGACTGCAAGTGATTCTTTTGACGACAACACCTTCTACTCGTCCCAGCACAACACCCCATCCTCGGTTCTTACGTCCCGCGTCCGCAACGAGTCCGAAGAGGCACGAGGCCTGGATACTATCGAGTCGCAGTCGACGAGCAACGCCCACAATGCCGCTATTTCGCGAATACATCCCATTGATGTTGATCTGGAGACGAGCGAGCCGAGCGCGACACGGCCGCGTCATGCCTACGCCAACCCATCTACCAACACTGGTGCCTCAAGCATAAACAATACGTCACAAGTTGGGCGAGTCCCAGGCTTAACATCGTTTGCCGAGGACAGGATTGTTTCAGCCCAGGACACAGGTGCTGGGCCAAGCCATTCTGAAGACTCGAGCAACGCGGAGATCGACCGGCATAGGGGCAGCAATAGATCCAATCCCCGCCGACAGCCCCGTGAACATTACATTGACAGCCGCCCCCCTTCTCCTCTCATGAGAGCACATGAGCGGTCTGCTCAAGCATCACCATTAACAGCAGCTAGACGGGCGCCCATGGCCGCTGAAGCAACCTCAAACTCGTCCAGAGGTACACCCGCACAAGTTGCTGCTCTTAGAAACGAGCCCATCACTGTGACCAGTCCAGAAAGCTCACCCCAAGGCGGAGGGGCATCTGAAAAGAAGAAGGGAAAGAAGAAGAAGCGGAAGGCAGACAGGCAAGCGCCCGAGGCCGAGCCAACTCCATATATCAAGCCAGAGCCACGATCCCCATCTCCCATGAGTGCTCCCTCTTACATCCGCCCCAACAAACGCCAAAGGTACACACAGCATCAGCCAGAGGATCTCAGCTACGAAGATGTCAGATATGAACGCCAGACTGGCGATTACCCCCCAGAACCCCTCTCGAGCCGTCCAGGTACAGATGACCGAATACCGATAGGGTATGACAGACCGAGCCTCTCTACCCGACGTGCGGTAAGCACTGCGGTTCCTGGCAGCGCTGTTTATAGGAGGGAATACACCGATGATCGCTACGCACCCGGCGGCCCGTATTCTGTGGAGCAGCCTCCGCTCGTTTCAGCTCACCATCCAGGAGAACCGTCAGTGGGGAGAGCGAGCTCACAGGTTCGGCCAAGCGAGGGCCATCAACGTCCATCATGGCCATATCACGGGTCCTATGAGGCATCATCAGCATCGACCAGGCCAGATGGGGATGTCTTTATGGCTCCTCCAAGGCCGCCACCGACTCGGATTATTGTAGATGCCTTTGGGCGTGAGTATATTGAACCACCACGACCAACGGTAATCCGGCACTCAGTCGCCCCTCCCGCTCGATCCGGTGAACCCGAGATCATTTACGAGCGAGCCGCGCCTCGGGCATTGCCCAAACAGACGGGCATGGAGACATACGAAGAAGGAGGAACTGTCTACAGGCGACCTTCGCCGACGTATATACCCAGGCGAGTTGTCACACAACCAGAATACATCTCGCAGGATTACAGGGACCATCGGCCACGTGAGTATCCCGCACGGCCGATGGCACATCCAGGGGAACCTGTGGAGTTGATGGCACCGCCAGGCAGGCGGCGTGTGGAGGAAGGCCCAAGAGACTACATAACGAGGGCGGCCAGCGTGCGACCAGCAGAACCCGTGTGGTATGAGGTTGCCCGGGATTACGGACGGGTGCAGAGCGTACGCCCCGAGGGAGCCGTACGTCAATATGCAACCAGTGTTCACCCGGAGAGTCGCCGTGAGGCTGCGCAGCCTTATGCACGAGAATATGGTACCTTGCCGGTGGAGCAAGGGGCAGTAAGACGCGAGTACAGCGCGCGGCCGCCCTTAGAGCGGTACTACAACCAGCCGATGAGAGGAGGGGAGGACATTGCCTTTATTGAACAACCCAGAGGGGCAGCACAAGAAATCGTGTATGCAGATGATGGGAGGAGGGAAGTCTACCGTTGATGTTTGAGGCACAGGCGTACGGATACAAGGGAACAGACAACAATGATAGACAGGGCAGAATGAGGATAATCACTAATGACACAAACTCGAGTTCACCTCGTGGGAACCTGCATGTGCAAACAAGGCCACACTTTACTTTGCGGCGTCAGCCTTACACCGAGCGTACGGGTGTGTAGCCAGAAAGCTTGACCGAACCAACAAGGCGCTGTGAATGAGTAGACAAAACTTCGGATGTATGAACCCTAACACGAGAGGACGAGAAAAGTCAATGAGGTCATTCCTGACGGATAGAGGGGAATGCCAGCTCGGGGAGTGCAGGGCAGGGATTCAAGCAGTACAAAACCAGGCCAGGATCTTGAGGAACGCACCGTTTGCTGGACCTAATTGCTTCTCCCCTGGAATGGGTGCTAGGTTGGCTCTTTTGATTGAGTCTACGCAAGCTGTAATCAAGAGCCGGCAGAAGTGCCGTTTCACAACAAGATAATGGCCAGTGAGAACTCTCTCAGTCGTCAGAGGAGGACAGCATCTGCCAGGGGTCGGATGATATCCAAGGGGTGGTATATATCACATCCCCCATTCACCGAGCAACAGGAATACGGTGTAATGTCCGCACAGGCATCAGCATTGTCTAGCATTGCTTTATTCATGCTGTCGTGGCAGCTTCTCAGCACGCTCAGAGTTCACGGACAGCCATGAGAGACTCCGAGACCCAATGCTGGACCAGTCGGATCGCCTCGAATCAAGTGGGCTACTCGGTGGTACCAAACTGGAGGGGTCTTTGGTACGAATGTTGACATTTTAAGACATGGTCACATCTGATGAATCTGACTACCGTGTTGCCTGCATCTCCACTATGGCTTTGCTTTTATACTATACCTCCACGACAAAAGACAGGTGTTTGAGTTATCAAGGGGTTCAAGGAACATTTATCAGTTGCAATCTCTACTCGATACAACCAGATAGGCTCCAGGCCTAGGCATGCCCAGCCTCGCGTTGTTGGACATGCACGCATACCGTTTGTGTGATGTGACCCACGAGTCCCCAGGGATATGTGCCTGCGAGTGGCGTGGCTCGTGATCGGTTCTCTCAGCTGCAGGCAAGCAGGCAAGGCAAAGCAAGGCAAGGCAAAACAGAACAAAACAGAGCAAAAAGCCACTGGAATTCGAGGCGGCAACTGAAGCAATCAACGGGATGCAAGGACGCGCAGGCGCGCACGTCCGACAGTCCAGACCCTGTCCCGCCACAGACAAACCCAAGAATGCCGGCTCCCTTGACCAGTTCGCGATGCTGGAAGCCGACTCCCTTGTTCAAGTACATACCCGTCCATGATGATCGATCACCGCAGTGCCGGTCAAACAAGGTGCCTTGCAAGTTGACATGTTGAACAACGAGTTGCTAGTGGACGAGCTGATACCAGGCTCGTGGAGAGAAGAGCTGGGCCTGCATGGGCCAACCTCAAATCAACTCGCTCCCTCACCCTTGGATCAAGTCACAGGCAAGTCGCAGACAAGTCACACAGACGAGACCTGGTCGTGTGGGGACGCCGTGTGATCGAAGCTTTAGCCAAGACACGCTACCGAGCGAGATACGGCTGACGAGAGATGGCAATTCTTGGACAAGCATGTATCCCGGCATCTCTGAAGTTGCAGCTTGATGAATCTCCTTTTTTACTCCGTCTCTCTCCTGCTTATGCTCGGGAACATGGTTGTGCAGAAACAATCTCTTTAGATGCTGCAAGGCCTGACGATAACCTGTTGGTGTGGACGAATGTCAGCGGAGACGGCCCCATTCCCGTGCAGCCAGGTGGCCCTCCATCTAAGCTGAGTTGGTGTTAGCATCCAAGACAACGGTACGTGATCCCAGCTAGCGGCTTGGTAGATGACCTGGGTATCCGTACCTTGTGTCTTGACTGAGCTCGTCAAGATGTCTCCCTATGAAGCTGTGCGGTGCTGGACCATTGCCAAAGTCCTCCGGCTTGTCCACTAGGGCTCTGGAACGCAGTCGGTTTGAATCCCGTCCCCGGGGAGCCTGTCTCCCGTGTCCCGTTTGGAGAGCCGCCGCCAGTGCAACGACAGAGGCTGCAGGAGGTGCCTCCTAGCCTGGCACCTGGGCTGATGGTGCCCCCACCGCCCAAAACGCAAAGCGAGCCCATGCCATGCCCTAGGGGGCCGCTCGCTGCCGTTCGAAGGTCACCGAAACCCGGGAGCGCTCCCGCTGCTGTTCACCTTGTCGTCATTGGGGTTGGTCGTCATGGTTGGTGACTTGTCTGTTGCGAGCGAGAGTGCCCTAGCCCCGGGTAAGAAGCGTAGAGTTCTCACGCTGGCGGTACGTGATTGGACGTACTCAGGGATTCAACTGAAGCGACCAGATTCCAAGATCTGTGCGATCAGAACGTCTTTGCTTGCCCTTGGTAGTGGTGGTGGTGGCTGCTCACAGTGGCTGTCGTTTATCCATGCCCTTGCAAAATCCACCATTTCCAAGTCACCACCACTCAGACTGGCTGGCTTCTGCTTCTCAGCGCACTCGGACAGGCGTGCTCGTGCCCTCGTACGCACAACCACTGGGTCCAACTTGCATACGGGAGTGCGCCTCTCCCCCCGGGCTCTGCATGCTGTACTCATGCCTTTCGCGCTGACGGACTGAGGTGCGCATCTCATCCCACTCCCGCTCCACTCTCTGGCTATTTCTTGTCTCGGGCTGGTCGATGGATGAGCTGAGCTCGCTGTGTCGGGCGGCCTTACAGGGCACTCACAGGCGGCGCATGTGCCGGGGGGGCTGTCTTTTATGGAACTCTCCCCCAGGTAAATCGCAGCCACTGGGTACCTAGGGGCTGTAGGTACCTCTCCTAGCTGTATCTCCATGCCTCTACTCTGCCACTCACAGCTTCTGAATTGCCTTGGCCTCTCCACCTTGGCCTCCATATCCTGTCCTCGACAGAGCACGTCCTGCTGACTTGAGGTTCCTCGCTTTTTGCTGCTGAGCAGTACTGTAGGTAGGTACGTAGTGCATCTCCGCTCCATCCTTCCCTCCACCTCTCGTACCTACCTCACCTTCGTAACCCTCCCTCTCCTTCCTTCTCCCTCTCCCTCGTCAGACTTGGAAAGAGCTCACAAACACCACCATCTTTCTTTCTTCCCCCCTTCCCCCCCTGCCCCCTTCCCCCTCCCCACCGTTTCTTGCCCAGCTTCTTCGATACCCTTTTTCCCTTTTATCATTGCCCTCATCTCTCATCTTTTTCCTGGTCAGGTCAGGTCAGGTTCTCTCTCTTGCTTCTTCTCCACCTCCCGCCGCCGTCCTCGCTCCCCGTCCACCTCCACCTTCGCCGACCGTCGCCGCCCACGCCTCGGACGACGACGACGACGCCTTCACCTCGCTCCCCATCATGAATAAGTTGGCAAACATGCGTCACTGGTCGGAAAGAATGACACCCAATTTCGGCATGGGCCGTCCCAATCCCAATATGCCCATGAATGCCCTCAACCATCCCAAGAACGCCGCCCAGCCCGGTCAGCCCATCGCCTCCCCTCAAGCCGCCGATGCCACGATCCACTACTCGTTCAACGTCCCATTCGCTTCCGATCTTGCAGGCCCCGACACCGAGGACATTCTTCACGCGACCACTGACGCCGTCTTGCGATGGACGCACCCCGAGGACGCGCCGGACGACGTCCAGATCCACGAGCTGCCCGTCCATGGACAGAACCTGAACAACCTCCGAAGGCTGTGCCGCGACCTCTCCAACGGGCCCTTACCCATCGAGGCTCATGTCCTTTCGACCACGCCCAAGAACGGCAAGGGCCAGCAGGTCACCACCGTCTGTCTCTCTGGCTCTCCAGAGCTGGTCCACAAGAGCCGAGAGACCATTTTGAATGATACCCCCATTTCTCTCGTAGGTTTCGATTGATCTCGCACCAGGCCCCTCTGTGGCATGCTGGCAAACCTCTTCTGACTTCTCTCCGTAGCGTTGCACCACAATTGATGTTGATGGTCAACTCGTTTGCGATCTCAATGCTGGAGTGCTCAAGAAGCCCGTTACCGATACCCTAGATTACATCTCGAGCTACTGCGGCGTCGACATCTTCCTTCTTGGCCCCAAGCTCACCCCTGTCGTGGATGGCATGACTGGTGATTCCGAATTGCGGATGGATCAGCGATGGAGAGTTGCCATCTACGGCGACATCTTGTCGTCAGAGCATGCCAAGGCTCGGGTCCTGATTCACATTGATACGCTGGTACAGATTTCCCCTCAACGTTTTGTTTGCAAAGTTTAACCCTTATCCAGCTTGGCCGTATTGTCGATGGCACCAAGCTTGAATTGTCTTGCCACCAGCTCGTCTGCGGCCGCCACCGCAAAAACATCAAACTCATCGAGTCGTCTACTGGGACCGCCATCTACTTCCCGCCTCCGTTCTCGCAAATGTACCGCTACTGTCCCCCCAACGCTACTCGCCGTGATCCCTCGGATGTCTTCATCACCGGTGAAACTCCTCAGGCGATCGAGCTCGCCAAGCAGAAGCTTCATGAGACGGTCCAGCGGATCAGGCTCTATGTCAAGGACGTGACCATCCCTGCCGCAAAGATTGACAGCATTCTGCTTGGCCGTTTGGACAAGGTCCGCAAGATTCTCGAGGCTAATGGCACCTACATCATGTTCCCCCCTCTGGCAAGCCAGCGGAACATGGTGAGAGTCCAGGGCAGCGAGGGTCTTCACGTGGAGCGAACTGTTAGGGAAATCATGTCCCTGGTGAGTGGCAAGATCCTCTACTTTTGATTCAAGGCGACTAACAATGCAACAGGCCGGCCAGTTCTACAGCGCCGGGTGGTACATGCAACATCCCGAGGCTAGGCAGCTTCCCAACCCAGCTGACATCAGGGCTATGCTTGTTGATATTTGCGCCAATTCGGATGCCGATCTCTCGTTTGACAAACTGAACTTTGCCATCACTGGCTCTGATGATGCTGTCAAGTCTGCCCTCGAGGTTATCTCGGACATCAAGTTT